TGATTGATTGATCATTGATTGATTGATTGATCATTGATTGATGATTGATTGATTGATGATTGATTGATTATTGATTGATTGATTGATGATTGATTGATGATTGATTGTACGTGCAGGTGAACCAGTGCTGGTGATGAGTTTGGCTCTGTTGGGAAAACTCTGCATCCTGGCGGCCATCTTTATCTCGACGCTGTACGCCATCGAGCTGTTCCCCACCGTGGTCAGGTACACGCCCACACGCAAAGATTTGGCTCGTTACGTTTGCGACAGATTCCATGTGACCGGTGTTTCTGATCCAGACAGCGGTGCGTGTCCCTGGTCAACCTGTGTTTCCGCCTCGGCTGTCTCCTCAACACCCTCGTTCCCCCCAACCCCAACGGAGCAATCTCATTGGCTGCCATGGCCGTGTACAGCAGCGGACCGATTGTAGGCTGCGGCCTGTGCCTGTTGCTGCCGGAGACCAGCGGCGTGACGCTTCCTGATTCAGTGGAGGATTGTGACCAGCAGCCTCACGCGCAGGCGCCATCTGGAGGACAGGATGAGAAACAAACTTTCATCACGTAACTTTCCTCAGTACGCCTGTTTCAACAATACTTCATATGCTTTTACTTTGAAGAGGTGCTTCCTGTTTTAACTAAGTCGCAGCCCAGCCTTCTCTGGTTTTTCAGTGTTTATCTTGAAATGTACGAAATCTTCAAGGTTTAAACTCGTGACCTCACAAAACACTTTGAACCAAAGGATTTCATTATCTGCTGCGAGCTTCAAACGTCACGACTAAAACTAAAGATGTTCAAAGAGGTTCTGAAGAACCGTTTTCATCGACACACGTTCCGAAGTGGACGCAGATATTTTCTCTAACGTAGGAAGTTTGATTTATTCCTGAACGTTTAACTTAAACCTAAAATGTTTTTTTCATGAAAAAGTCAAATGGAATAAAAGTATTAATAACTAAACTGAAACTTTCTCAGAACCTTTTATTCACCTTGGTTTTAGATTGAAAACGATTTCTCTCTCCAGCACAGAATCTAGAGCATCCCATAATGCAGCAGTGACAGCGGGGTGTATCCTCAGGTGATGCAGAGCAGCGACTGAGACAAGAGTTCAAGAGAAATAAAAACAACAATGAATCGGACGAACGTCGACATTCTGGTTTTCTCCAGAAGTCATAACCTGAAAACAGGTTCCAGAGAAACCAGGTTAGTCTGGTTCGATATATTCGTTCTCATAGTTCAGATCTTTTACGTTCACGAGTTAGAACTGATGTTAATTCGTCACCAGACGTTCAAGTCATTTGCATGAAGAAGAAGGTAAAAAGGTTAGTGTGACGCCTCCACTGTCAGGGAATCAAACCTCTGCAGAAACCAGCCGGTCACATCCTCCAGATTCATCAGGACTTCGCTCAGATATCGTTTCCTGCAGAAGAATCTGTGAACAAACTGTTTGTTTATCAGTGAATTCTGCTGAACAAACACTGAGTCTGTTGAATCAATAGAAAAACAGCTTTATGGAAAAGCAGCTCAAAGTGCTGATGTGTGCTTCTCACACAAAGTCTCACTTATGTCTGACGACCACAAGAAATCTTCAAAGAAATGTTTGAAATGGTCAATTATCTGCAGGACTGAAGAGATTTACAGCCTGAGAACCAGAATCACTTCCTGTGTCGAGACACAGAAACGTACTTATTATTACTTATTATGACACATTTCTCTCACGTTGGTTTGAGTTGAGGAGGCGAAGAGTGAAACATGAGGAGAAAAGACATTTTGAGGATTAAACCTGGACGCTGAGAATCTTTACGGACTCGAGCGTCATCTTTCTGAGGTCTGAGGTCAAACTTTGAGGCCAAGGAGTTTTTCATTCTGACTCCGGTTCGATTCAGAAAATGTCAAACATGAAAAGGTTTGTCCAGTTTTCTGCTTCAATGAGAAACAGCATCATGATCTCCAGATGTAGGAGAAGAGTCGTCAGTGCTCGTGCAACGAGACGTCACCACTTTGAAAAGTCTTTGAGCCACAGAGCTCTTCTGTTCGGATCCATGACGTGACACATTCTGATTAACGGGAGAGGTCACTTTGAAGTGAAACACCTCATCACGTGTTGTTACAGTTGGAACAAGAGATTTGACTTTGTTAATGAGGACGAGTGTGAAGACGAGTCATTTCCCCCTCGGTCAAACTTACTGTTGTTTTCATTCACGTGTGTTCACATTTCAAATTGAACCAGCTTCGACCTACTTCAAGTCTCATTTAGAGACGTTTTAATAAGTTGGAACTTTCTCAACACTTATGAGACAAACTGGACAGAAATATGACTTGATGCAAATGACAGATTTATTTCTAATCTTCAAACAGCCTGAACACAAACATCATTATTATTATTTTAATCAAGATAAAGTGAAAACCATTATATATTGACCTTGAACACAGGATAAAGAACATTAGCACCACCCACGTCCCCTTTAGAGCTGTGAAGAGATTTTAAAGGTGGAGACAGTAACAGACCACAGAAGATTTAAATACTCAAATAAAATTCTCCTTCATCTCGTCTGAAAAGTGCTTTTATTTTGGTTGTATTCATGTTTTTATTTTGAAGGGAAAGTTTGTTAGATAAGTTACTAACGATGACAAAGACCAAAAACCAGCAGCAGTGACCCGTTTCTTTGTTTTTGCTTTAAATTGTTGATCATTCAACTCTTCTGCTGCTGAATTCACAGATCAGTTGATTCAAAATGCAAGAAGAAGATCAAATAAAGGAAAACACTGTTCACACCGAAGTTTCCTTGTTCTGTTAATTTTCAAAATCTCATGAAAAGGAAAATGTGATGTCATTAGTTTCTTATTATTTCAATACTCACACTTAAAGAAAATTGAAATTTGAAAGTGTTAATTAAAAGCAGGTAGAACATTGAGGAACGTTAGTGGAAGAGGAACCAGCAGAGACGTGGAATCATGTGTCTGCTCATTAAAATATGGAGGAATAGATGTCACACTGACGTTTACAACATTTTTCATTTCTTTAAAAATCTTCGTAAATTACAAACCTGTAAACTAAAGTGCTGCAGCTACACGTGATTATTTTCATTATCAATTCATTTGAATTCATCGAGACTCAAACAAAAACGTGTTTGTGTGAAAAACCCCAAAAGATTCTGTTTACACAAAATGTGCATAATCTTTATAATCTTTATAATCTTTATAATCTTTATAATCTTTTTAATCTTTATAATCTTTATAATCTCTAAACTCTAAAATAAAGCAAAACCCCAAACCTGTCCCTTGACCTCCTTTTCCCGTGGTGAATTAGCTGCAGTACCTCCACACACCACCAGGTGAGTATCAGAACGTGACAAAGTTGGCGGGGAAGATCCCGACCCGCCCATCGTCCAGCTGCCCCTCCCACCAGTCGTACTGGGACTCTGTCTTGGTGATGACGGTGATTCGGTCGCCGGGGACGAAGCTCAGGTCGCCCTGCTGCTGCCCCGCGTAAGGGTGGGTCGCCGTGACAACCAGCTGTCCACTGGTTGCCCCCGCAGGTGGTGCGCCACCTACAGGGGCAGAAAAGAGTTTAAATTGTGGGGCATTCGAGAAGATATTTATATTTATATATAATTTACACAGTGATTTTATTGAATCATTTTTTAATGTTCTATTTTATTTCATTTTTTATCTTGTTTTTATAAATACATTTAGATGTTGTTATTATTATTCATATAAATATTACATATGTACTTTATGTATATTTACTTTAGTGAATTTCAAAAACTATATTATATGTAGATATATTAAATACATATATCGCATCATTACAAATTCACTTAGTAAATAAAAATGTTAGAATATGTTAAATTTAAATAAATGATGTAATAAAAATACTCATAGAGAAAAGTGAAAGAAATGAAAAATGACTCGTTTTTAAACCAGGAGAAGTGAAGCTCAAACACATCACTGCTCCGAACACTAGAGGGAGCTGCAGCATCAAGACTCATCTCAGGATAGAAGGAAGTTGACAAGGAAAAGAGGATGAAGGAATGAGGGGGGGGGGGGTGAAGAGGAAGAGAGGAAATGGTTGAGGAAACAAGGAGACAAAGGAGGAAAGACAGCAGTGAAGGATGGAGGGGGTGGAGAAGGAAACAAGCTGTAACCATGGTAACCTGTTTTCACTCACCTGAGGTGTTCGATTTATAGATGGAGATGCTCGGGTAGAGGGCATTTTTATTTCCTGTTCCTGATCGTGCACCTGAACGCATCACAGCATCACACACATGACGTCTACAACACACACGTGATTAAAAACAACACGTCGGTGGGATCTTTACCTGAGCCGGCTGCTGGCGGCTGGTAGCTGCTCGCCGGAGGCTGGTAGCTGCT